TTCCAGGACAGCCTCCAAAGCCACAGAGAAACCCTGTCTCGAAAAACCAAAAAAACAAAACAAAACAAAACAAAAAAACAAAACAAAACAAAACAAAAAACATCAACTGTTCCTGGTGCTGGAGGCTGAAGTCTGACAGAAGAACTGCATCCCAAGAGGCTACAGGGAAGGAGCTGTCCCAGGCCTGTCTCCTGTATCATAGATGGACATCTTGTCCCTGTGACTAAACCCTGTCTCTTCCCTGTCTAAATGTCCACTCACCCTGTGCCCTTGTTTGGTTTTGTGTCATGTTTTCCAGACAGTCTCTTGGATCCCAGGCTGACTTTGAATCCTTGACCTTCTGCTCCTCCTTTTCCTCCCTGAGCACTGGGATTACAGGTGTGTGCACCACACTGGTTTTTTCCCTCCCTCCTGAGCACTGGGATTACAGATGCACCACACTGGTTTTTTTTTTTCCCAAGGACAGCATTCACACCGAGGAAACGCATCATGGCTTCCCAGAGACCTTTGCACAGGAGATTCTAATTAGTCTTAATGTACCTCTTGAGGGATGAGTCTTAATAATCATGAGAAGTTCACAACATCTGATGGCTTCCTGGAGCAGGCACTGAGCTGAAGCCTTTTTCTGGTGTGACAGTTAACTTTCTTTGTCAACATGACTGGGTTTGGAATCTCCTAGGAGACCCACCACTGGGCGTTTCCAGTGAGGTTTAACTGAGGAGAAAAGACCTGCCCTGAATGTTGGTGGCACAGGTTAGGGACTGGAATGGTAGCCTGAATAAAAAAGCAGAAAGAGCCGGGCGGTGGTGGCACACCTTTAATCCCAGCACTCGGGAGGCAGAGGCAGGCGGATCTCTGTGAGTCCGAGGCCAGCCTGGTACAGAGCGAGTTCCAGGACAGCCTCCAAAGCCACAGAGAAACCCTGTCTCGGAAAACCACAAAAAAAGAGCAGAAAGAAGGAAGCAACTGTCCACTAACATTTACTCCCCTCCGCTGTGGAGTCACTTTACCTTCCTGAGACCAAGCTTTTCCCACCATGGTGGACTCTGTCTTCTGAACCGAGGGCCAAGATAAACGCTTCCTCTCGTGAAGTTGTTACTAGGCATTCTGTCGCAGCAAAGAGAAAAGTAACGTGTCTGGGATGTGTCTTTCTCTCTCCACAGGCTCACAGGAGAGGCGCATGACTGACTTTCCCTTGCGAGAGGAAACCGAGGCATACATCCAGTCAGGGAGAGGCCCCTATGCACGCACTCTGAGCTCTGCCAACAGCATTCTAAAATTAACCCTTTCCAAGATGCAGAGACTCAGGCTGAGAGGCGGGGCAACTTGCCTGAGATGGTTGACTGCCCCGGAAGCCCACTGCCAGCACCTTTGCAGGGCAGAAGAGACACTGGAGGTGTCAGCCCAGCCCCAGCTGACCTGGGTTGGAGACAATACCCTGGCCCTTCAAGGGCTATGAACCTCTGTTTCCTCAGCTATAAAATGGCGTCAGTAGCAGAGGTGAGTGTAGGACACACTACATCTCCCTAAGGTTTCCCCAGACCTGCGTTACAAGGCCTGGATTTTCTAGGGCAGGGTTTGGCCCTAATCCAAGCCCCATAAATGGCAGTCGGCAGGCTTATGCCTACTCCCACCCCACACCCCAACCCCTATAAACTGGAGCCTTGTCAGTGCGTTATTGGCGTAAATGTTTTTGTAGGCTCCCCCACATCCCCTCCCCACATTGCCTCCAAACAGAGGCCCTGTAAGACTGAGCCAAAAGCATAGCTAAGAGAATGTGTGCCAGTGACCCAGCCCCTGCAAGGGTGATGCAGAGAACTTTCCAAGGCTGGGCTTGTTCCTGTTCTCCCCCCGGCAGCTCCTGCCTCCTTCCCTCCACAGAAGCTGCTCTGTCCCGTCACACTGGGCCAGCTCCCACCCGGTTCCCTAATGGTTCTGGGAAGGGTAGGGGCTGTGTTTACAGGCCAGCCAGGAAAGTCAGTCAGTCTGCCATTGTCTCACACACAGTCAGACTCTGACACAGAGCCAGGCCCACACAGCAAGGCAGTCGCTTGCACTGTGAGTCACAACCAGCTAGCCAGTAGCCTGGCCAACATCAACCAGTCTACCTATTAGCATACCCACTCAGGCAAGTACAGCCAGACTTGGCCACATTGTCAGGGACACTCAGTCACGGCTACTTTTGTCTAGGGTCAGTTAGATGATCAGCCAGTATCAATCTGCCATACACTGTCTCGGGGGCAGATTCAATTACAGTCTGACATACCACACCCACTAGCACTGAGTCAGTACCACAGTCAGCAGGTCTCCAGGTCAGTCTCAGCCAGTCAGCCAGTCAGCCAGCCAGCCAGTCAGTCAGCCAGCCAGCCAGTCAGCCAGCCAGTCAGCCAGTCAGCCAGCCAGTCAGCCAGCCAGCCAGTCAGTCAGCCAGCCAGCCAGTCAGTCAGTCAGTCAGCCAGCCAGTCAGTCAGCCAGTCAGTCAGCCAGCCAGTCAGCCAGCCAGCCAGTCAGTCAGTCAGCCAGCCAGTCAGCCAGCCAGTCAGTCAGCCAGCCAGCCAGCCAGCCAGTCAGTCAGCCAGCCAGTCAGCCAGCCAGTCAGCCAGTCAGCCAGCCAGCCAGTCAGCCAGCCAGTGAGTCAGCCAGCCAGTCAGCCAGTCAGCCAGCCAGCCAGTCAGCCAGCCAGCCAGCCAGTCAGTCAGCCAGCATCTAGCTGCCAGTCAGTCAGCCAGCCAGTCAGCCAACATCCAGCTGCCAGTCAGTAGGCATCAGTCACCCAGACAACGAATAAAAACCAGTCAGCCATACAGTCAAGCCTGGTCCCTAGGATATTATTTCACAGCTACACTCAGTTTCCCTGTCACAGCCATCCATTCAGGCACAACCACTCACACCATGAGGGACCAGCCAAGCAGACTCCGTAGGACAGCCACAATATCATTCTCCAGGAACTAAGGCAAGTGGCCAGGCCTGTCAGTTGGGTACAGTCACTTTCTGTCTGCTGAGCAGTCAGTCACATCAGAGGCAGCAATAGTCTGTCACCTGATGGGTCAACAGCCAGTCAGTAATTCTCCAAGGAGCAGACATGCCATTGAGGCAGTCAAGACTCGGGGTGGGGGGTGGGTGCCACAGGCAGACACGCAGTCATATTAGTCTGGAAAAGATAGCCACCTCCCAGTCAGCTAGCCTGTCAGTCATAGCCATCAATCAAGCTCTTCACTGGACACTCTCAGGAGATCAAATTCAGTCTGTCAGTCATCCATCAGTCAGTCAGTCAGTCATTGACTGGTAATTTAGTCAATATGAATTTTTAGGCAACCAGACCAACTGACCACCCATTAACGCATTGTCATTAGCTAGCCATCCAGGCAGTCACGGAGCCTCCTGATTGACTCATCCTTCAGCTGGTCAGACTTACTCCATTAGTCTAGCTGCAGTGGGTCATGATTGTCACACTGTCACTAGAATAGCCCTGTTTTGCTTGCTATACAGTCTGCTAAATACTGGAGTGAGGAATTTTTGATTATCTGCTGGGCTGTGGTGTCACATGCCTTTAATTCAAGCACTTGGGAGGCAGAGGCAGGCAGATCTCTGTGAGTTCGTGGCCAACCTGGTCTACAAAGTGAGTTCCAGGACAGCCAGGGCTGTCACACAGAAAAACCCTGTCTTGAAAAACAAGAACAATTTATTATGTTTCTATTTATTGCATGTGTCTTTGTGTCTGCATGAGTGCCACATCTTTCATGTGGAGGTCAGAGGACAGCCTTGGCAGCACGTGCCTTAACCCGCTGAACCAACTTGTCGGCCCATTTTATTCTTTTCTGAGGCAGGTGTAAAATGCAATTTTTTTGTTTGTTTCATTTTCAAAATGTTTATTGCCCATGTATAGATACCTTTACCCTCTGAGCCACCTTGCCAGCCCCAAATAATTTACTCTAGAGACTGTCCAGTGTGTGGAAACAGGAGCTTGGGCTCAAACTGTCTCCCTGGGTTTGCAGAACACAGAAGCAGGGAGGTCTGAGGTATGGGGAAGCTATTAACAGGAAAGTGAAGTTATGGGCATGTGGCCCGTGAGTTTCATGGGTGTGTGTTTAGAAATGGAGCCATTCACATGCTTGAGAGTGGACTTTTGGCCCTTTGTTGTCAAAGGTCATCAGCCACTGGCATAGGTCCAAGGGAAGGCTCCCCAGTTTCAACCAGCTTGAGCTGCCTCCAGGTTCCTGAAAAGCAACTTATGCAACCTCTAGAGTGACCCTGTGACCTGTGTCAGAGGTTGTTACGATGATGGGAACATATTGTTCAGCTACACAACCTCCAACTTCTGTGAGAAAAGCATTAGACATAAGTGAAGCCGGAGGGGTCATTCAAGCTTTCTTCATTTTCAGCAAGTTTCCCCTATCAGTGGCTGGGTTAGTCCCACTCACAGCCGGTTAGTCACCACAATGTAACCACCCAGTGACCATCAGCCCATAATCATCTCACCTAGTCACTCTGAGGTACACCCAGTGCTTACAGTATTCAAATGAGGAAATCACTGGACAAAACATGAAACCAAAACCATGGCTTATCCCTTCAACATGTCAAGAACCAAGGGTCCCAATGCAGCCCCCGAGTCTGATTCATCAGGATGGGCAGGGCTGGGGAGGCCAGGGAATGCACACTGGGGTCCAGTGGAGCCTGTCACCAGGCCGAGGGCCACACAGGCAGGGACAGGGGACAGGGGACGCTTGGGCAGCTTTCTATCAGACCACCCGGATGTTCTGTGAGGATTTCCTGTGACCTGGTAGCCCCTCCCTTTCTCCCTCTGCCTTGGCCTCCACTACCCCCCCTCCCTCCTTCCTCAGCCCATGTCTGCCTTCCCACAGGGCCACCCTCCCCTTCATACTCACACCCGCACACCTCCCAACCATCACATACCACACACACGCTCACCTCACATCCACATGCTATGTGCAACACACCCATGTTCACACTGCACACACAGACACGCACATGTGCCTTACTTGTTGGCTGGCCTCCTCATGGCAGAAAGTCCTGTTCCCAGCAGCCTGAGCAGCTGCCCACTCCTCCACAGGTCAGGACTTTCACCTGTGACGGTGGGTCTTGCTGGCCACGCTGCATTTGCCTTTTCCTGGAGAGACTCTCCTGGCCCTCCAGCTCCTCAGAACACAAGCCGTAGGAGAAGGTTTGGAAGAGCCCGCTCACTCCCTTCCTAAGCCTAAAGCCAGTACTCTTCAGTTATAGTTCTCCAAACCCTGGCCGGCATCCAGTCAGAAGAGCAAGAGCGAGCCAGAACCGCTCAGCGCCAGGGAACAGCTGTCCATCCCTCAGAGATGGAGGCTGCCTTCCTTCTTCTCACTGTGTCTCCTTCCTTAAAACCTAGGGCACTTTTTAAGTAGAGTCTCGCAACCCCACACTTCCTCTTCAACATAGATACGGCGGTGGCAGAGCCAGCTGCCCATGCCTGGTGAGGGGATTTGGCAGAGGTGGGGTGGGGGGTGAGGTGAAAAGCTCGATACACAATCAATGACAGCTGACTTGGGGGGGATTTGTAACACCTGGGCCCACCGGTGGTTCAGGCCAAAAGGCCCTTCTCTCATTCAGAGTTTGCTCTCCCAGGCCACACTGCCGGATGGACGCTGTCTTCCCAACAGCCCCATGGAGTCAGAACCTCCCCGTCTCCTCACTGCACATAGGAAGGGGCAGCTCTGGGAGCTGAAGTAGTGCTGGCCACGCCAGGACTGGCTGGCTGCGGCCCTCGAGTGGTGTACAGCACTACAAGGCCACGCTCCGCTGGCCGCTGCGCCCAGCCCTCCCTCAGCTGTCCAGTGGCTTCCCTCTCACTTCACAGCTGTCTGGGGCTCTGTCTGGTCTCACACAGTTTCCTTCTTTCCTGAGAGATGGAAATTGCAAACAGCCGAGGCACGGGACACCCCACCCCCTCTGCTGGTCGAGAACCCCCTCTCATTTGCAGGAGCTGCCCTTCCTTCCCCTCTGTGGTGGGATGTGAAACCGGAGCCTCTCTCCCGTTGGCCAAGTCTCCCCACAGTTGCTTCTCGAAGGTCCACATCTGCAGATTGGTGGCGGGCCTGTGTTCCCTGGAAATGGCATTCCAGAAAGGAGGGTGCAGCCCCGGCTAGGACGCTCTGCCAATAGTGAGTGAGTGACAGGGGTTTGGGTGTCTGTCTTCTGCCCTCCCCCCAAGTACTAATCCCAGTACTTCAGCCGGCAAGGCCACCCACAGTTGTCAGCTGCAGCTCGGTAGGAGCCCTGCTTCAGACCTCAGAGCCTACACTTTGTGAACAGGCAGTGTCCTCCGCAGACTCCTCCCCTACCTCCCCTACATCTTTCCTCCCCCTCTCCCTGGCTTCTCACCTGCTTTGCTCACTCTGTCGTTTCCTGCCCACTCCCCCCCCCCCCCCGTTCTTCTGCTTTTTTTTTTTTTTTTTTTTTTTTTTTTTGGTTTTTCGAGACAGGGTTTCTCTGCGGCTTTGGAGGCTGTCCTGGAACTTACTTTGTAGACCAGGCCGGCCTCGAACTCACAGAGATCGGCCTGCCTCTGCCTCCCGAGTGCTGGGATTAAAGGCGTGCGCCACCAACGCCCGGCTCGTTCTTCTGCTTTCTTCAACTCTCCTTTTCTCTCCCTGCCCGTTTCCCTTCTGCAGTCTGTCTCTCCTCTGCCCCAGGATTCCTAGCCTCAGGGGTTCCTTCCTCTCCTCTGATAAGGGCGTGGTCCTAAAAGCAGGTCAGTAAGGCACAGGCCAGTCTGCAGGATTGGCAGGCTGCTGACCTGGAGGGACATGGGTCTCAAGCCGGTTAGTAGGCACACTTCCAAGGCGGAATGAACTCCAGCCCCTTCAAGAGCACCTCCTCACCGCAGCTGCCTCAAAGGACATCACCCATCTTTTCTGTCTCCCAGGAGCTCTGTTCTAAGTCAGGTGTGTGATATCAGGGCCTGGGGCCATCTTTCCTCAGGGACTCTGTGGAACTGTCATCTCCTAGGGAGCCCTGCTTATCTTCAGGCCTGGTTCAGCTCTGGAACCTGCCTCTTCCCTCTAGAGGCCCAGGCTGTCTCAGACTCCGGCAGGAACCCTAAGGGCCTGGCTACCTCCAGAGGCATACCTCACTCAACAACCAACAGTTTCCCTGATTATTCTTCTGAGGCGCGCGCGTGCACGCACGCACACACACACACACACACACACTCACAGAAATTCTCTCTCTCCCTCCACCTTTCTTTTCTGGGCTTCCAAACCTCCACCTTTTTCGTCACATTGTTCTTCTCTTCTGAGCAATGATCTTCAGGCACACCTACCCGCTTCTGGCCTGGCCTTTCTGTCCCAGCGTGGCGCACTGTAGGCTGAGGCGAGTTCCTCCAACGAGCCCGGGCTCTTCCTGTCCTGATGGCCACCCAGGGTTCCAGGCTTCCTTCCTGGGCCCTACTTACCATAGCCTCCACTTAACAGAGTCTGGGGGTTTAAAGACAACTTACACTCCTCACAAAGAGCCAGTGAGCCAGGCCTTGGAGCAGGGGAGTGGAGGGGGAGTTCTCAGCTCCTCCCCTACAGGTCTCCTGGTATGTTGGCCTTTGTTGGTTTGGGGCTGGTTTATGTAGCTGAGTGGCTGTCAGGGGAGAGACACAGGAGGAGGAGGATGGAAGGGGGTGCTTAGTGTGTAAGGGAGTGGACAGGGACTTTTCAAAAGAAAGTGTGGTGTGGCTGTAGACTTTGAAACTAACAGGAAAGTAGCAAAGACTTTCTCGGTGTGTATGGTGACTATGTCTGTAATTCCAGCACTCAAGAGACAAAGGCAAGATGAGTTCAAAGCTAGCTTGGACTACATAGGAAATTAAAGGCTAGCCCATGCTAGAATTTGCTTCAACAAATCCAGACTTTGGGAGACCCAAGAGGCTTTCTTCTGAGGGTGGGCCAGAGGTGGCAGCCGAAGGGTCCCAGCTGTGAATTCTTGTTCCCATCTTCCCTTCCAACAACTCTTTCTAGCCTCTGGCCCTGCGGGCCATAAGAGCAAACACCTTGATGTACAAACCAGGGACATAGGGGAAGCCACACCTGAGCCTCCCAAATGGGCCAGAGGGCCCAGGGAACACAGGCTGCCAACGGCGATGAAACTCATGGGAGGAACCAGCTTGCAGCCTCCTGACCTCAGCTTGCAGCCCTGTGCCAGCCTGTCTTTATTTGAAAACACTCTTGGCACTTGGCAGCAAAGGCACTTTCTAAGGGCCGCAGGGTGGGAGTCACAGCTAAACCCTTAATTCACAGGCCCGAGGGGCCTTTGTAAAGACAGTTGCTGTCCTGCTGAGCTTAAACCCACCATTTCCGCACTTCCTGCTCCTGAAGAGGAGGGCCTGGCCACTGTGTGAAATGTTCTTAGAGATCCCCTGCTGAGGTGACAAGGCTCAGAGCAGAAAGGCGGCAGACTCCCTACTGCCCCCAGAATGACATCCAAAGGTCTGCCTGCTGGATGGAGAGGCCACCCTCAGCTCTGCCCAGCCACAGCTCCGGGCCAGGCCTTGGTCTCCAGGAGCCATTCCTGTCACCTATGCTGCTGGGTCCTCTGGGCAGGACTCCTAGTCCTCAAGATGCCTCTCTCTGGAAAGGTCCCCCTCACCACCTTTCAGCTGGTATTTTATAACCTCAAATTCCTAGGATGCCAGTGGGGACCACAACTAAGAAGGATTAGAATCTCACTTGCCATCTGTGTTCCTTTGTTTTTATTTTGATTTTTTTGAGACAGAATTTATCCATGTAGCCTTGGCTGTCCTCGGTCTGTATATCAGACTGTCCTCAAAATAACAGAGCTCTATCTGCCTCTGCCTCCTGAGTGTTGAGATCAAGGGTGTGCTACCACTGCCTGACTCAGGCTTGGTTCTTGGATACAGAAGTAGAAGATGCTAACTGCATCCCCAGTGACTGGAGCAGTGGTTCCTGGAGCTGAGATGATGGTCCCTGGCCTGCTGTGTCCTCCACCCTAGAGTCTATCAGGTACCCTAAGCGCAGCAGAAGGCTGTACCGTGTCCCCTCTACCCATCACTATGAGTTCTTGCCCTCAGAAGAGCTGGGCTTCTCCTTCTGTGTCCTGGGGTACGAACCTCCTGCCCAACGCTGTGTCCTCAGGGGTTCCATAGAACTTCCCTTCAGCTCTAGAAGGCTTCCAGACTCTCAGTCACCGTGGTGACACCTGGGTACTAGGTTAAAGGTTGCATTGCAGATTAGGACAAAGCAGGCCCAAGGCTGTTTCTAACTAGACATTCTGAAGATTCCACCCCCACCTGGTTGGGCCAGGTCCCAGGGGAGCCCTCTGGCTGGGAAATTTCTGCCTCAGCTCCCCAACCTGCTGTAGTTGGATGTTTGCAGAGCTGACACACCCATGCATGTTCCCACATCATGGCCCCAACATTTTGATACAAGGTCTTCCTTGGATACTGGATGCTTTCCCTTGGCCTGATAAGGGACCTTGCTTTTTTTTTCCTCCACAATTGGCATTATGAGCCTCCGTTCCTTCATTCCTTCCTTCCCTCCCTCCTCCCTCCCTCCCTCCTTCTCTCCCTCCCTCCATCTGTCTTTTTCTCCTCTCTCTCTCTCTTTTTCTCCCCCCCCCCCCTCTCTCCCCAAGATCATAGCCCAGGCTGTCCTGGGACAAGCAAGCCTCCTGTCTCAGCTGGCCTCTTTTTAGCATCCAGGTTTTGTGTTGTATGATGTAGTGTCACTGAAGATCAACAGGTTTGGGTACTCATGACTTGAACACCAGAAATCCTCCTGTCTTCTTTAATGATATGTTTTCCTCATTTGTTTGAATTTATTCTTCCTCTTGACAGTTAAAGTGATTAAAACATGAAAAAAACAAAACCCAGCCAGCTTCCTCATGGTGAGTGAGCAGTGCCTGCTCCTCCTCCTCCCCTCACTTCCCCATACCCTTTGCTGATTTCCTGAGCTCCTCCCAAAGGAACTGTTATCAGACTTTGCCTCAGGTACTTCAGAGGGCTTGTCTTGTGATCCATTCCTTCCCACTTATGGGCAAGATCCTCCTGGCATATCACCATTGTATGAGCAAAAATGGGCCTCAGCTTCCAATTGTAGAAAGGAGAAGTCCCTCTGTCAGCCGACACTGACAGGAATACTGTGAGCCTAGCTACAGCCACCAGCTTCATCTCAGGGGTCAAAAGGCAGTAGACAGGAAAAAAACCTGGTACCTCTGTGCAGGGTTCATACTGGCCCAACCCATACAAATGTCCTCACAGGTGCTGCTTCAACATAACTGACATCCTCACACGGAGAATGGTCCCCTCAAGCAGGTGAATTCTTTTTTCTTGAAGACACAATGGTTAGTCTTTGCACAGCCAAGATCCCAAGCCAGGACTCCAGGAGTTAAGAAGGATCTGCTAACTCCTGACCTACCTTCAATATGCACAGCAGCCCTTGACATCGGCGCAGAGCTAAGAGGGAACCTGCCCCTCTCAGTCAAGTGACTCTTGCCATTATTTCATCTATGACACCTACAGTCCCAGTAAAAGGAGAGCTTATTGAAGGCAGGCCCCTTTGCAGACTTCAGCCACCCATCCCTCACTCATTCTGGGACCTGGGATAAAACCGGTCTCCTCTCTGACCCTCAGGCTCTTCAGGCCATAGAGAGGGCTGCACTTGTATTCTATGAAGTTATTTCCAGTGACTGCCAGAAACAAGACCTGGACCCAATCTGTCAAAGTCTAGGTCCTCCCACCATGTAATCATCCAGATGACAACCTTGATACCAGCAGTTTCCAATTACATCTCTAGAAATTTCCAGATGTGTCTAGAAAACAGTGAAATGGGGTCTGGATAATTTTGCTCTGGAATCAGTTTTCCTGGCTTACAAATCAGAGTGT